TGTAGACAAGTACCCCAATGATATAGTTCCGCCCTTAGCTCCGTGATACATAACCATTCCGCTACCATAGTAAATAATGAAGCCCAAACGGCAAATTGAATTCATTGCTTCCAATGGCTAAGCCTTTAGCCAACCCTTGCCTCAGCCCCCTTTAAATCCTTGTAGAGCTGCAGAGAAGTCGGTTGTGGTTTTGTTTTCACCGACAAAGACAAAACTGTTCTTATGAAAGATACTGCCTGCTCTGCTATTGTGTTGGCTCTATTATACTCTACCCTAATCTTCCCCAAGACTCAGTAAAAATTCTTCCATATCAAAGATGGAGCCACCATAAGTATAAATGGAAATCACAAGGGCTAATCTCCATAGTATGAGGAAAGATCTATGTAACTTCCAATAAATAGTGCACCAGTTGTTATTAAGTTGGAACCTGATTCATGATAAGCGAATCAGTCTAATAACAACTAGTTTCCGCAAAGCAAAATGAAGAGGATGAATATTCGAGAAACATTTGAAACCTTCTCACTGAACATCTTGAATTATGAGACTGTCATTGGAAACACTTGTGACTACTTCAGCTGTGCTGGTTACATTCAAGTCAAAGGTAGCCAACATCTTGTCTTAGGACGCTTTCAAATACCTTGTTCTCATCTTGAGGCTTGCCTTTCACTTGACCTTGTCCAACAATCCTTCTAAAAAATTTGAAATCATAGAGCAGGAGTTATTAATATTGTTATTTCCCTTTATGTCAGAAGCATTTGCTTCAAACTCACTTAGGAAAACCCAACGAATCACCACAGGCAATCAAAATCATATATAGAGAAACCTGTCGGCCATGGATCTTGTGAGTATATTATATACACGACATGGTAATCACTCAAAATATGGAAACAAGCCCAATGGATCTGATGAGTTATGTATTCTATACACGGTACGACATAATCATTCAACTATATGAAAAAATCTCAGTAGTAATATCATAGCTTGTGAGTAACGTACCTTATTAACGTTGGGTGAGGAAATCAATAGATTGAAGCTGAACCAGCGCCGCCGAGATTGTTAACATACGGCCAGCAAAATATATTATGAGAGGTGAACTACTGCCATCAGCAACAGCTCCAATGAAACCTGCAGCCATGAACCACATATCTACACCCATCCGCATGCATGAAAATGGAAATTATAGATCCATATTTCTCCTTCTTAACATCATCGTTTCCTTATCTTCCATTGAATTTTGTTTTACCTCCTCCGTCAACTATATCTGTTAATATCAAAAAATAACTGTTCTACCAGATTCGAAGCCCCACGAGTATTGTTTTAATATTATATTTATTAGCCATGTCTTTCATTAACCAGCTGTTAAGCAAAGCAACAATAGTCAAATACGATATTTGGCATTTAATGACTATGGTAGAATTATTTAATGAGATGTTATTTTCAATCATATTTTTAACTTTTCTAAGGAAATAATCACAGTATTAACTTAGATGAAGCTAACTGGTCTCCCCATTTTCTTCCTTGTACAAAAACGAAATGATGGTGTGAAAGGAAGATTTTTTTTATAAATGTGTGCAAATTTGATAATCCGAAATCAATTTAGAAAATCAGTTCCAATCAATATAAATCCCAAAGATTGTGGTATAATTGTCTTAATTATTGTCAAAATTATTTGACAATTATTATGTGTACTCGATTGTTGTTGTGAAGCAACGTACTCCTATGTGTTACAAAATTATTTATACTATTAAGCGGATTTGTATTCGATTTTATTGAAAGATTAAATTTATTTTAATCTATTAAATATAGGACTACATTGATATAATATATAATAATAAACACCAACATATAATTATACTAAATTTTAACTGTCAAATAACTTTATTGATAACAATTAAATAATTAGATAGTCTGATTGAGTAAATAACTGAATGATCATGATATAATTTACCTAATTGTTTATAATATGAAGTTATTTTTATTTAATATTTTCATAATTTTAAGACAGATATACTGCAAGCCTTATACCATCATGCATATCTATAATTTTTAAGATTTTATCATTAATTTTAACGTATATAAACTAATATTTTAAATCTACTTTGTATCTTCAAATAACCTGACGGTTTAAATAACTTGATAAAATAGATCTACCATCTTAATTCTTCGTGATCTTAATAAATTAATTCAAAATAAAAAGTAAGAATCGTATTTTCTCTAATATTTGACTCTTAAAAGAAGATTATTAAAAATAGAAAGAATGTCGTTATTATTAAAAACAAAAAAGACAATTTCGATTCGGATGCTTATTTTCTCATGCTCAATAAATAGAGAAATCCATTCAATAATACCTAACTTGAATTAATCGATAGATAAATTGAATATCAATAACAAAATCAAATCAAATAAAAAACTTTAATTTTATTTGTTTAATAAAATAAACACCTTGAATCACATGGAAATAAGCGTATCTCAAAACCCTAATCCCAAAACAAAGGGGGAAATAATCGCTGGGGATATAGTTTGATTTGGAAACCTGAAAGTAGGGTTGTAAAATCGGGTAATCGTTCAGGTTTCAGTCGGATCCTGGCAGGTCGTAAAAAGGATACAGGTAAAGTCAGGTAAATTTGACACCAGATCCATCGGGTTCAGGTCAGGTCATTTTCAGTTCGGATCGTTTCCAGTTCAGGTCCGAAGCAGTTAAAAAGCAGGTTAATTCATGTTCGGATGGACTTCAGGCGGATCTCGTTCAGATCGGGTCACATCATTGGCATATAAAATTCAGGTCGAATCTCTATTATATACGGATTGAGTTCAAATCGGGTTGTTTTTTATTTTTTGGATTAATTATTTTCGTCTTTCGCGAACGTTGTTGCAATTGTAATTGTATATGATTTAGATAAATTACTAAGAATAAAAATAATCATGGTTCATTTTATGAAAAATACAAATTTAAGAATTAAATTGAACAAATATGAAATTACAATAAAAATTTAAATAAATTAAACAACACACACGTTGATGAGGGATCAATCGAAATAATTTAATTGTGAGATTGAAATTAATACAAAAAAGTACTAAATTATACCCTTTAAAAAGTTATGGGCCAATTAAAAAAATAGAATTAAGTAATAAGTATTGATCAATTCATATGCAAATAAAATTTGGAGGACTAAATTGAACAAATATGGAATACAAATAAAAATTTAAATAAATTAACAACACACATTGATGAGGGATCAAATCGAAATAATTTTAAATTGTGATGTTGAAATTAATACAAAAAAGTACTAAATTATACTCATTTAAAAAGTTATGGGTCAATTTAAAATAGAAATAAGTAATAAGTATGGGTCAATTTCAGATGCATATAAAATTTGGAGGACTAAATTGAACAAATATGAAATTAAAATAAAATTTAATATATTAAACAACACAAAAGGGATCAAATCAAAATAATTTTAAATTTTGAGGTTGAAATTAAAAAAAAAGGTGCTAAATTATACCATTTAAAAAGTTATGGGCCAATTTAAAATATAAATAAGTAATAAGTATGGGCCAACTTCAGGTGCAAATAAATTTGGAGACTAAATGAACAAAATATGAATTACAAATAAAAAATTAAATATATTAAACAACACAAAAGGGATCAAATCGAATAATTTAAATTTTGAGGTTGAAATTAATACAAAAATGTACTAAATTATACTCATTAAAAATTATGGACCAATTAATAAATAGAAATAAGTAATAAGTTGATAAAAAAAATTAAACAACTAATAGATATATTAATATAAACTATATAGTTTTATATATAAAGTACATGTTATTATATATATAAACTATATGTTTATATATATATATAATATATATATGTATAAAGTATAAGTATAAATTATGTAAAGTATAAATATATACCATGTATAAACTATAATACTATATAGTTTATATATGAACTATTGAACTATATACAACTACATAGTTTATATAAATTATATATTGAATTATATATAATACAATTTATATTTATATATTTATGTATAATTATAAACTATATATATATTGTATAATTATATAGTTTATATATTATATATATAATATATGGTTTAGGGGTTTAGGATTTATATTTTATTTTATTTATTAAACTACTATAATTTATATTTATATACTATATTTTATACTATTATATAAACTATAGTTATATTTATATACTATATATATGAACTATAGTTTACATATGAACTATATATAAATATGTATATACTAAGGTTGATATTTATATATGAACTATAGTTTACATATAAACTATATAGTTTATATACTAATTATATTTACATATAAACTATAGCTTACATATGAACTATATATAAACTATATAGTTTACATATGACCTATATATATATACTAGTTGATATTTATACTATATAGTTTACATATGACCTATATATATCTATAGTTTATTTTATACTATATATTATACATTAACTATATATAGTATATAGTATAATTTACATATGAACTATATATAAAACCCTAAACCCTAAACTATACATTATAGTTATATAGTTCATTAGTATATATAAACTATATATTATATAGTCATTAGTATATAACCTATAGTATATGGTATACAAATTATATATTATATAGTTCAGTAGATATATAAACTATATATAATTATTTATAAACATATATATTAATTGAAAGAATTGGAAAATATATAGGATCAAATTGAAAAAATTTAAATATGAAGCTTAAATTAATAAATCATAACATTAAATTTGGATTAAATTTAAAAAAAGTTGAAATATGAAGCTTAAATTAATATATTACATCACTAAATTTGACTAATTGAATAAATTTAAAACTAAGAGAACTAATTGAATAAATTTAAAACTAAGAGACAACACCACATCAAATGAAGTTAAAAATACGCGGGTTTTCTCCCCCCAACTGTGGCGTCTTATTTTCATATTGGGTAATCCAACCTAACAAAACCCTAACCTTTCTCCTTTTTGAAAAATGATTTTATCTACATGCATTTTCTCCTGAATTATTTTCTCCATTTCTCAGTTGGGAGGAGAGTCTGAGCCACGGGTTATTTTCCACAACATTATTCAAATACCTCGCACAAATCCACCGGTATTTTTTTTTCCTTCAAATTATTCTTAAGTAAATCCCAAGGTTAAAAACTAATTATTTTGGGTCTGTTTTTTGCAGGGGAGACTGTAACAGTTGTGGGGATCATGATACTGCTTTATTGAGATACTTCGATTGCACCCGTCAGGCCCTCGATCCGCTTTCGATGGCAATGTGTTTTTCAGTTTGAAATAATGGAATACGTATGTAAAGTTTTAATATTGGTTTTTTTTGGTATGGAATTATGAGAAGTAATGAAATCAAATTAGATCTTGGATATGTTAAATAGAAATGCCTTGTATGTCTTTGCAGATTCTGGACTTTGCTTTTGATCGATTGGATGCAAATGGACCTCGGGTACGATGATAAGTTTATGTTTCTCTTACCATCACGTGAATCTAATATGCCTCCGCTTTGTTTGGTAGTTAAGAATGGCGTAGATGTGAATCGTTTTGGATAGTAGTTTTTAGGGGAGCCTAAATGCATCTTATCAAAACACTTGTGTACCTGAAAATGTTTTTGGCATGAACTTAGTTTGACATTTCCTTAATGCTACATGTTTTATTGGCTGCACTTTCATTATCAATGCTTTCCAGGTTTGACATATGAATTTTAATCTATTCTTTCTTGTTTTGTTGTTTATTTGAGGGCAGAATAGATTGATCATCCTATCCTGATTACGGAATGTGTATGCAACCCAGTTCAATCTCGCAGTAAAATGGCAGAACTTCTTTTTGAGACTTACGGAGTTCCATCTGTAGGTATAAAACACACTTTAATGTTGCATAACATATCAGACTCAATTTGTTTTATCCAAGTGATACATGGTCTTGCTATATTATGTGTGGTGCATCTGATGTTTGAGTTTTCTGCTTGTGATTGCAGCATTGTGGTGTGATGCTGCTTTCAGCTATAAGTATAATCAGCGTGGGATTTGTGACAGAGATGGTCTAGCTATCTGCCCAGGGTTTACGACAACTCATGTCATTCCAGTATGTTTCCTAGCGATCATAATTTACCTTGGTGCATATTTTTGCAAAGTTGAAATGATCTTTATTAGTTTTTTGAGCATGTTGGCAGTTGGTATGATGAAGTGACGTGGTTAGTTGGTTTCTTGTAGAATATATCCTTAATTCTTGTTATATCGTAGCATCATGAAAAAATAGCACTGGCATCTGACCATGTCTCCACCAATAAACATGTTTACTCATCTTGTACTTGTAATGACAGCCTACTCAAATGAAGTTCTTTGTTAGATTTGTGTCACTGCTGATTTCTTTGGCTAAAATTGATGATTATATTTGCTCTTGGCTCCATTATTATGACAGCTAAAGGAAAAGAAGAGGCAGATTTTTCTTAAAACAACAACTGAGGGCAGGCAGCGTGCTAAACAGAAACGTGTCGAGAAGAATTAGAACGAGAAAAGAAAACCCGGGAAGATGAAGAAAGACACTTGTATGTCTCCACCTTATTCCAGATGTTTTAGACTGGATTCCAATTTGCTTTTCTGGTATTTACTTTGTATATTTAATTGTTTATTTTTCCTATTACAGGGAGAATCCAGAACTTATCTTGAACAGATGCGTACTAAATACAAAGAATTGTATGAGAAGGTTGAGCAGCGGAAAAGACTCAGAACGTTTGGAAGCTGGAATCCGGATGCTTCGGCCATGTGGGTCACCCATTAAGGTGGATTTGATTATTGTGCCATAAATTTGATTAATGTGAATGAATTTTCTACTTGAATTGTTTTGTTTTGAATCGAAGCAATTGCAGATGTTGAAATTTATTCTTAATCTTTCTGCTGCCTCCGTTTTAGCTTGATGGGTTTCGACTATACATTTGTGAGGGACTTAGCTGGAAAAAGTGAACCTCTGCCTGCGATTGCAAGTCCTCCTGTCAGTGTCAGCACTAATAAAACTGTCGAAGCACCTGAGTCGAATGGAGTTGTTTCAACTTCTTTAGCTATCACTAAACCACATCTTCTTCAGGGAGAATCCAATCGTTCCTTGATAAAGATGCAGATGAAGGCTTGGTGATTCTTCAGTCTCCGATGGTGAGAATCCAAAATTTTAGATTCTTCTCTTTGTTTGAACGCACGGAACTAAGATGACAAATGGTGCAGGTAGGTTTCTTTAGGAGATCACGAACCATAAAGGGTAAGCGTACTCCGCCATCATGTAAGGAGGTAAATACTTCAACAGATTTTGGTTGCGAGCACAAAACAAACCATTGTTTTGGAAGGCATCATGTCTAGTGTGTCCCATTGGTTCCTTCGTACTCTCTATGTCTCAATTGTTGCTTTTGTTATGCAACAGAAGCAAATAGTAAAGGAAGGCCAGGTACTTTGCTACATCGAACAACTAGGCGGTGAAATTCCGATTGAGGTACAGAACTCAATTTAACATGACTTGTTGTGTGGCTTTTGCATGTTAACAGATGAAAATGAGGGTTTTCACAGTTCACCCTACTTGTCTTTCTAGTTACTTTTCATGTATATGATTAAGTGTATGCGACCAATCAATCCGAATTTTATCTCTAACTCCGATCATTCTTTCACAGTCTGATGTATCCGGGGAGGTCATAAAAATTCTAAGGGATGACGGCGGTATGTCTTTGCCATATTTTCAATATACATTTCAACTTGCGGTATTTTACGGTGTCCCATTGTCAGTTATTCTTTCTTGTTAAGTTCATTATCATTTGTTTCTCAATTCCAGGTTTTCCTCTGCTTTGGAAACTCGGAGGCTTCAACTCGATTTTTGTTGAAAGATGAATTCAATATTCAAACAACAAAATATGACAATTGCATTATCGTAATCTATCCCTTTCTCCATCCAATGCATCTTAATTACATTTGCACTCATTGGTCATTGATTAAACATATCATCACATGATGTTTAGGGTTTCATGTTGCCCATAATTAGGTATAAAGTCATGATGATGATATTTCTGGTATAGTTAGCCTTTTAGCCTTGTAAAACCTTAGCTATAAGATCTGAGATCATTTATTCCAACATTAATTTATTTTGTTTAGTTGATTTTATTGTAATTTTAGTGTTTTCAAGTGTAATAAAAGTACCTTCATTTATAAATATTTTTTTAGTATTTATAATATTATTCAAGTTTTTAATTTTTAATAAGTCCATCATTTCAATTAATATATTTGATTTTAAAATTTCAAGTTAAGTTTACTTAAATTATTAATCAATTTTTACATTAAAAGTAAATTAGATTTATGAATATTTTAACTCATGTAATATAATTTAATCAATTTAATAAGAATATAAATTTAATTTATTGATATAAAATTTATATAAATAAATAAAAAAATTTTGAATTGTACTTAACATAAAAATCAAATTTATAATACAAATTATAATTAATATAAACTAATTTTAAAAAGTAATTATATTAATTTAATTATCATAATAATTTATAAAATTTAAAAAGTAATCATATTAATTTAATTATCAATAATTTAATTATCATTAGTTTATTATAAATTTAAAATAATATTATTAATTTTAACTTCACTTATAAGTTAGGATAATATATATCACTTAACAACATGTCGGATCATTTACAGGTTAAGTCAATTACAGATCAGGTTCATAACATGTCAGGTTGAAAATAGGTCTGGTAATATTAATTATACCAGGTCAATCTCGGGTTCGGGTTCATATCAGTCGGATGCAGTTCGGATTCGGGTATCATATTTTCGGTTCAATTCGGGTTCAGGTCGTTCTCAGGTCGGATGTAGGTCGGGTTCAGATCCATAATTTCTAGGGCCACTCGGGTTCAGGTAAACACCAGTTCGACTCAAGTCGGTTTCGATCGTCACAACGCATGTTAAAAAAGTTTTAACTCGAGTCGATTTTAGTCAGTTTTACGGGTCGGGTCAATTTTTTACACTCGGGTAAAAATTCCCAATAGGAACAACAGAAACATAGATCGAAACACATTTTACCAAACAACAAGTGCTAAAAAACCTATGTCCAAATTCAGAACACTACTAATACTCACAAAATTGCAAACAAAAGAAAGAAAATGAACCGAACATAAAACCGTTCTGCCTTGCCTTTCACCTCTTCTCCTGCTGCTATCCCTTCAGTTTTTGTTTTTTAATCTCTTCTACAACCGTTACAAAAAAGACAAAACGCAAGAAATGAAGTAACTGCTTTGGTTTCTCTATCTCTTCCCTCTTGTAAGATCTGTTACAGAGGAAAGTAAGTTCCTTTCATCGTATTCTTAAAATGGGATTTTTTTTTTATTTCTTCAAACATACTCTTCGGGGTAAAATTTCACTTCTTTTGGTTTTCTATTTCTCCTTGTTTGCAGGATGAAGCGAATAAGAGATGATACATGTTCCGGTTCCCAATTTAAACGTCCATTTGGTTCTTCAAGAGCTGAATCGTAAGATGTTTTTCTTTTGGCTCTGTAATATGCTTAAAGTTTATTGCCTTTTATGAGGGTTTTGTTTAGTGAATTTTGTCAGGGAATTTGTTGAATGGATGTGGATTTGCCTAATATTCTGTAAATTTACTTCTATTTTGATGAAAACTTTCGGCCCTTTTTCACACTAGTCATCTATTGAAAAGTAAAATAGGCTTAACACTAAATTTTCAAGTTATCTATTGATGTTGGTCAACTGGTTGTAATTCTGAAATCTTATTATTTTTACCATGTGAAGCTATGAGCAAAGCCAAATGCTGGGGGAGGTGGCGGCGGTGGCGGAAGTGGAGCAATGGGAGGGATGGGTGGAGGTGGGGGAAGTACGCCACAGAAATTGACTACAAGTGATGCCTTGACGTATCTAAAGGAAGTCAAGGAGATGTTTCAGGATCAAAAGGAGAAGTACGACATGTTCCTTGAAGTCATGAAGGATTTCAAGGCTCAAAGGTATCTTCGTTTGAAATGGAAACATTTTGTCGATGAATAATGGATTCATTTTTAAACATCCAAATTTTCAATGTCTCTTTTTTCTTCTGCAGAACTGACACAGTTGTCATTGCTCGAGTAAAAGAATTATTCCGAGGGCATAACAACTTGATTTATGGATTTAATACCTTTCTGCCTAAGGGCTATGAAATAACCCTTAATGAGGAAGAGGCTCTTCCTAAAAAGACTGTTGAATTTGACGAAGCATCAGTTTTTGTAAACAAAATAAAGGTAAAATCATTGTGGTGTAACCTTCCACCTTACTGTTGCCCATGTTCAGTCATCTAATTATCCATTTTACTAAGCAGAAACGTTTCCAACATGATGAGCATGTTTATAAGTCATTCCTGGATATCTTGAATATGTACCGGAAGGAACACAAGGACATCAATGAGGTCTACAGTGAGGTAAAATGTCTTATTTGGCTTGTTACCGAAGTTTATTGGCTCTTTGGTATTAACCATATCTTATACAGAAAACGTTACTTGTTTGTTGTTTCATCGCTTCCAGGTTGCTTCTCTTTTTGAGAACCATTCAGATCTGCTTGAGGAGTTCACTAGATTTTTACCAGATTCTTCTGCTGCACCTTTGACACAACAAGTTCCATATGGTCACAATTCAACTCAGTATTATGACGAGCGAAGTTCTGCCACACCCAACATGCGGCATACACAAATGGACAAAGTAACTATTCTTTACAATATTTTTTTCTTGTTAGTTGCTATTTTGCGTGTTTGTGATATGAAAATATTACTTATCTTTCCTTTTCAGCAATGCCGGAGGGATAGGATTACTTCCCGTGTTGATCGGGATCTAAGTGTTGATTGTCATGACCTGAATGATGACAAAGCTATTGTCAAAATGCAAAAGGAGTATAGAAAGCATGTGGAGAAGGAAATAGGGATCGGAGAACTTGTGATCAGACGAGCCTGAGCATGAAAACAGGGATTTTAACATGCAGGGTTTTCCGGATAAGAAAA